ATATATGCACACATATAAAACAGATCTTACTGTTGGCAGTTTTTCAGACAGGCCAAATGCAGTATGTTGAATCCATTTACATTACAAATAGTTGGATCCAGGTTCTTGACCTTGAGTAGAAGGGTGAATATGTTATTCTGACTGCGTAAAATTGCTTCATGTAAAGGTGTGTCTCCCAATACGTCCTATAAAAAGTAATAAAGCATTAGAAAATTGATACTGAGGAAGATTTAGTTTGGGTTTTCATGTTTCCCCATGCACTGAAGACCATGTGTTGATTACTTTCAGAATAATTTTCTTTCTTTACCATGCAGTACTGTTAAATAAATAAAAAATGATTCTCGAAAGAATCAACACTTGGTCTTCAGAGGAGAAACATCCGATTCTTTGTTTGAGCAATTCATCCCTGATATCAATGTACCTTTTCACGACTAGTTACGCCTGAAAATGTACATTGATATCGGGATGAATTGCTTAAACAAAGAATAGTCTACTTTCGAGTTCTCTGTTGCTCAGGGTTGGCCTCGATTTTGTGCAGAACATTTATGAGTTCCTGTGAAGGTACGTGGAATTTCAAAGTGTTTGCGGTACTATTGTTGAAGTTGTGCATTTTTTACTTTACTGTTGGTATTTGTGAATATTTAGACGCTGAATCGAGATCGAGAAATATTGAGAAGTCTGTTTACGAAATAGCAAGCTAAATGCACGAAAACTGACCATGATTTTACAAATACAACTCACATGACGGTCTTGTATTTCTCTATTAAAAAGCGAGGAGAGTAGCAACAGCATTTTTAGTGCCTTTTTTCGTATTTTCCAAATCCTTTTTCTCAATAAAATTCTCGGTAATTTCTCTGTAGAAACACTGGGAAATCTCTATTGTTTCGCTTCGAGCTCCATTTGTATGAAAATACTAGCAAAATATTTGCTCCCGCTCTGTTGTTTTTGATTGGTGCAAAGTATCACGCCGTCAGCGATTTTCACGTTCTGATCACGTGCACTTGTTTATTGTCACGATTAAGTAACATTTCCCGGTCGGGAAACATTAAGATTTAACCAGTGTCACGTGGTCATCTTTCAASCAATGAGAGTGTTCCTTATATCGGAAAATGTCGTAGCTATATAACAATGCCTTATATTGCCATTCCCCGAGGAGGGGAAAGGATCCAGAATAGGTCTCAAGTGCCTTCTACTTTGTGTATCTCGCAACAATTTTATGGACGAAACGAGTTGCATGCAACATTGTAACATCGTAACATAGTTTCTTGAAACATGCTACAGTGCTTTTTGGGAATCGATTTTAACGAGAACTTTCCAATGCCTCAAGCATGAAATAATCTCTAAGAGCAATGACTAACTACATGTTAAACCTCCCCTTTCATCGTCTCAGAAAACTCTTGGAAATGAGGAACAGAGCATCTCCGAGGACGAAACCTATGGGAGCTGAAACTCACAACGGACTTTATAAGTTCTTGATGGGGAAAGTAAGGTGAAGGCGGTGAGAAGAGGCATGTCTTCCTGGTTCCACTAGAAAATCTAACCTTCAGCACATTTACATAACTTTATCCATGACAATTATCTAAGTTCCTAAGCTATCATGGAAGGGGGTAAGCACAACAGAGCTTGGCTCCAAATTAAGTACACCCTATCAAAAATCTAAATGATAATAACAACAACAAAATACGAATAATGATAAACTTTAATTGAAAAAATCGAGTGAAATATTTTTTTTTAGATTTTCAAGTATAATTCGTACCTGGCAATTGACATCACAATACTTAGATTGTACCAGAGCGACCACACCTGCTTCATTGCCTCTTTGAACAGCTAGATGGAGAGGTGTTACCTGGGTTCGGTCCAAATCGGTTGGATTCACTTTAGCATTAGCAGAAAGCATGACTACAACACAAACACCGGTTTCGTCACTGAAATGACAAGAATGAAATGAATTACTAAATTGGTTAGTAATCGATGTAATGCGCATGTGTGCTATTCTGTTAGCTGCTTTATTTACTTCACAATACGACCACCCTATAACTAGGAAGTATCTAAAATAAACGAGGAGGTCAAAAAAGGGGGGAGATAGGTAAACGGACGTACGGACGAATGGGTGGGTGAATAAATGGATGGTTGGTTGCATAGATGGGAGGGTGGATGGATGGTTGGGTGGATGGACTGCGTACATATAGCGTGCTAATCTTATAAACAATGCAATTCAAAAGGCTTATATTCTTCCTTCGAACAAATAACGTATAATAGAACTCACCCATAAGCAGCGTGGTGCAATGCTGTGTAACCTTGTTCATCCTATGTCAAAAATTACAGTTTTAAATGAAATAGTGCATGTGGGTAAATGTTAAAAGATGCAAGGTTGTAAGACGTTGAACCATAATTACCCTTAGTTCTTTGTCAGCTCCGTTTTCCAGTAGATAAGACACAATCTCAGATTTTCCTTGATGACAGGCCACTTGCAAGGGCGTCTTGTTACTGGCAAATTTTTGATTTACCTAGACAAGAGTGTAGTAATGGTTAAGCAAAGCAAGTAAGTATAAAATATAAGGACAGACAAGGGTAGAAAGAAAGGAAGGAAGGAAGGAAGGAAGGAAGGAAGGAAGGAATGAAGGAAGGGAGAAAGGAAGAAAAGATTTAAAGTTGACTTGTGTGCAGAGGTTCAAGAGAGTGGTGTTATGTCAAGTATAAAAAAAGAAAATTGTCCTACCAAGGCTTTGTTGTTACCGATGATCTGCTTGACTTGCTCCAAGTTTCCAGCAGTAGTAGCAACAAAAAGTTCAACTGAACCGGCTTCTGAACTGGAAGCGTTTGCCACTCCTTCAAGCATAGCGTGAAACAGAAGTTCTACAAGAAAAGTGCACTCGTTCAGTCACCATTTTCTGTTATAATCTCTACAAACATCATATTAAATAAGGAAACCAAAAGCATGGGTGACGTAGAGGTGGAAGTGCTCACCTCTCACCAATGCGACCCTGATTCGATTCTCGAACTCAATGTCTTACATGAGTAGAGTTATACTTTATGCAAACTGACCTAAGGCAGTTGTAGAGCTGGAAGAAGGATCTTCATGTCCAGCAGGCGTTCTCTCTTCTTCTTTGGACTCCAAAATAAGAGCATCTGGATTAAAAACCCAAACACGATCCTCGATGCTAACCACCATATCTCCGTTATCAACAACTCGAATCACTTTACCAGCTTTACCTAATACCTGGAAAACATATGTAATATATTATAATCGAGTGAGAGGTCCATACCGTAGGTATACGCCACTCCTATATAGAATTCCCTTTGAGAGAAAGTTTCCGGAGGAATCTAGGGGAGGGGTCTTCAAGATTTTGGACAGCCGATCTTTTCGGTCGGTGTCAATAAGGCAAAAATACTAAACACAGCCTGCTCCTTTAATTGTAAGAATTAAAAATTTTCGAGCTCAGTGCTCGCTAATTTATAAAGCAAAACCATTAACGATAAGATGCATTTACATCTTTCCAGCTTTATGCAATATATTGCATGCTTGGTATGCTTTCAACTTTATGCAAATTTTTCCATCCAGTAAAATAATTCCGTGCGTGCATCGCCAACATGGTACATTTATTTTCCCAGCTTGGTGCAAAACATGCATTCTTGGTAAGCTAGCCTTGTTCCATGCGCAAAAGGTAAGCTTTTAGGAGCTCTTTTTATTACATATTAACTCGGTGCCCAGGTCTACTCTATACCCTTTGTTATTTCGATATAGCATTTGGAAATTAAATCCCTTGATTGTGCAAGATCTATGTCAAACGTCTGTCTTGCTAATTCAAATATTTTTTGGTATATTACATACATTTTCCATTGCATTATTCCAGCCTCCATGACCTTCTTGTAGGTTCATCACTGTTTCTTTGTTACCGGCAACTCTGACTTTGTCTCCAGTTCGCAAATTTATAGTTACCTTATGAGAGAAGAAGAGCAATGAAAAAATCAGCATTGTACCTTACAAAGTGCTTCGGGATGAAATACCCAATTGGATAATCCATACTGGACATGGACATCACCGCCTTCATTAATACGGCAAACCTTACCTACTTTTCCGATTACCTTGAAAAACAAAACACGAAATGAGAGGTTACTACATTGAGAGGGGAAAGCCGCCCTTTGCAGGAAGCCCACTAACAGGAGATAAAGAAGAAATAGAGACGAATGACTAGGGAGGAAATAAAGCTAGTTCGAAGAGTGTCATCTTATGGGTTTGGAAYATGAAACCGGYTGTGAAAACTTTGCAAACTCACTTTTTGCATTGCATCTACCCATCCCCCATGACCTTCCGCCAACTGCTTCAGTGTTTCAACGTCCAGTTCCGTTTTCACCATGTCTCCTTCTCGCAATTCATTCCCTCCTGACCTCGGCATATTAATCGTAGATACCACAGGGAGATGGTCTTTATAGTAACATRGCCCATTTGCAGCTTTGACTGGGCATAAATCCATCTATAAAAGAATTATTATTACGATAACAATTAGAAAACAACAAATCCGACGTACAACTGCTTTTCTTTCGCAAAGGTACGGTACGCAAACAGATCCAAATGCACAACTAACTTACAGATCGAGCTGGAATTTACCGGCGTTTGCATTGCTACTCGGCCACCCCAGACAAAAATCGCGACGTGCACTTTGCAATAGACTGCCGTCAATCAAACACGTTGACGCCATTTACWCRCGTGTGTAATTCAAAAGGCGCCAAAACKTCGGTCGATTGTTTACAAGTATTATGAGCCACACTCACCGGGCCTAGCCGGGCCGATCCAAACGCGTGTAAATGACGTCAACTTGTTTGATTGACGGCAGTCTATTGCAAAGTGCACGTCGCGATTTTTGTCTGGGGTGGCCGCGTAGCAATGCAAACGCCGGTAAGGGGTTGRGTTTTGGGGTTAGGGAAGCGAAGTATCCGGAAAAAGGAGAAACGCAACAACCTCTATTCACATTTGATGCCGAGCCCAATGGAACCCGAGATCCCTGCGGAGAAAAGCGAGAGGTCTACTGCTACGCCACCCTTAATTCACAAATGTACACTTACTTTGCCTTCATATCCAACTCTGTGTTTGATTTCAATAGAGTTACCCCAGTTTACAAGGACTGCACTCCTGGGTGTATTTTCCCATGCAGTTAGCCCTACTACTTTTCCAACCTTTGAGCCTAAGTCATTGTCTAATGTCCAGTCCCGTCCTTGTTTTACTAGGGCACCAGGGAATATTCCAGTGGCGCGAATCTTTTTCTCAGCAGCGTCAGAGCGCTTTCCAACATTGGTTCTGAAAAATCAATAATATTTTAAAGGTTCGTTTCTCCTAGTTATTTTGTCTAAGAACCTTGCTGTGTTGGTATGAGTTAACCGTTCTCCTGATTACGTAGCAACACCCCTCCCACCCACCTACCCACCGCATCGAAGAATTAATAGGAATTGCTTCCGAACCGGATGGACATGTTAGTTCGGTCATATGATGTGAAATGGATGGGTTTGCAATATTGTAATAAAATCAGCCTATGCAGCTACACTGATAAAACCGTTTAATTTAACGCAAAACAATTGCGCTGTTCCTTTTCTTGGATGAAGAACATGTTGCAATATTTTCCGCCATTTTGGATTATCGTTGGAGGTGATTATCGTATGATAGTGTGAGTTTCTCGACCAATCAGCGCGCGAGATTTTCAATAATCCCTTGTGTATTTTTACGCCTTATATGGCGTGCTCTACTTTGCAGCCGTCATTAGGTTCGGTCCCAGATTCTCCCGGGCCCTGTTTTTACTGAATATAGAAATATAAACCAGAATGAATCATGTTTACCAAACTGAAACCAGCCGTATGGTTGCCATGAAACCCTTCTATTGGCAAAAGATATACTAATTCAAGACTCCATGCAATATCATATACTTTGTACTTTGGTATTTATCACTCACCCATTGGTTTTGTCGTTCGATATATGAAAACGCATAAATGCATGGTTTTTTTCATGCACATCATTCATGTAGCAAACATTACACAAGTCGAAGTCGTGACATACTGTGCAGTGCCATCGTATTCCTGTGATGACCGAGGTCATGCATCCATCACAAGTAAAAGCGTTAAACACAACTCCTACAAACCAAGATAAAAAATAGAGATTTATAATATATATAAAATGCTGTATGGGCACACGAAGATGCACATTTTATTTGCCAATTAGCCTGAAGCGAGATGACGTTTTATCCCCGTCTCTAGACCATAATCCTTTTCACATTGCTTTTTTTTTAAATTATGACTATTGTTCTTGTATTCTCTAAGAAATCAAAAATTTTATTATGAAAGAATTTTAAAAACTATAACGGGGGTAAAACGTCATCTCGCTTCAGGCTTATTGGAAGACATTTTTCGGTAAGACAAAATAAAATAAAAATCCTTCTTYTTGTCGTGACGATAATGATAAAATATTTTCAATCAAGATGTACGAGTTGTGAAAGATAATAATGACAACGATGATACGAGGATGAAAGCCATGGCAACGGRTGATGTCTTCTCGTGTTCAGCGCTGTAGTTGCTCTCTTCCTATTGGTTGATTTTAGGAAGTATGCATGGCAATGAGCGATATCTCAGTCGTGAAAGATAAATGTGGGGAATAAGAGTTTTATTCGCAAGAGGACTGATCCCAAACTTTATTCGACATCTATGAAATGAAGTAGTGCAGCATACTTATTACAAGCTCAAAATTCAGTAAGAGGTGGAAAGGCTGATGACCACTTCGAGTTGCTTAGGATATAGTTTTGGGAGACGAGATAAAGAGGATTTTCGAAGTCTAATAGATGCATAATCATATTTGCTACATGTAATAATAGAGTCTGTCTTTCGGTCGAGTGTCGAGGGTCTAGGGTAGTAAGTCGAGGGTCGGAAGTCTTGCCACACGACCATACGTTTCTTTGTATTAATCATACCGCTTTTAAAAACATTTTACAGTTCCAAAATATTGAACATATTATTCTCAAATCTTCAGTAGTACTAAATAAGACATTCTCTTTCGATTCCTGGAGTCGGTTTGCTTGTAGCTTAAAATTTTTTAATGCTAATGAGGAAAAAACGTAAATAAAGATCGGCCTATATCAAAATCGGAACAATAATAAAGGAAGACCAATTTATAACTAGGAACTAGTTTAATGAAAATGTTTGGGGATAAATACGAAAAATAAAGAAAAATAGACTTCTGTGCCTATAAGCTTATTTATCTTGAAGAATCGAAAGGCATTGATCGACCAAGCAAGGAATTATTAGCATCAATGGTTTTTCATTGTTATAAGTTTGAAACAATCTGAGAATATCTCACATAGCTACTAGAAGAGAAGAGTGTCTCAAGAACTTTTGAAATTATCTCAATTTTTTCTCTCGACTGCTTACAAAATGAAGTCGATAAACGAAGCAAAGCGACCGAACWGAACTAAATATTGACTTCCGCCTTGGGTTTGAATTAATCAAGCAATCCGAGKCTGATGTATATGCACGAAAATATGYAGTTCCAAGGTAAAGTAAGTTATGACAGTTACAATGTAATGGTTTCTCTGATTAATTACAGCAGAAATATGACACATCTGAAGGTATACAATGGTATACTATACTATACTACATATATRCGTGAAAYACATAAATATTATAAACAAATAAATGTACCCGCTGAAGAGGAATCAAAGACTCGTAAATCGTAGCAGTCATTMAATCCAGTCCTGTAATYAGCTTGCTTCCCATTATCCCAACACACCAKWACAGWTTTYGACGGCAATKTTTKACCAYCTRCAAAYTTTTGTAGGTCAACAATTGTYCCAACACMTCCTTCTCCTCCATCTTGGTCGCCCCATTTCCAGTCTGGTCCTCGAACAACTCGACATCCTAGAATCATGATTGTTAGAATACTCTCATTCAAGCCRAAGATTTTACATCTGCGACGYTTAAATAACTAGATTCGTCGATAGAAAGCGATGAAACATGGGTTAAAAAAGCAAACTTCAAGCTGAAAGCTTAGAATTCCAAGAAAATGTTYAGTATAAAAGAAAACCGTTTTGACCCAGACAGAACTTCGAGGTAATCACGTGATGATGTCACRAAATCGTTCATAACATCACGRAAGACASAGWGCAAATACGAGGGATGGATAGTTGAAGTGAAACTAGAAAAGAGACTTAGCAAAATATTCTTGTTGTTTCGTTTCATCATATTTCAGTAATTAGTAATGGTGCATGATWTGATATGAGAATTCTTCGTTTTAGTTCTTTTAAATCGTTATATTATGCTGGCGCTATCCAGATGTTCCTGAATTGTGCATTATTCAACGAAGGGAATAACGAATGTAACTTTGTTTTATATAAAAATTAAAATTAGAGTGCAAACAATGAAATATTAGTTATACTAACTTACACTATTTTATGCTAATTCTATTGTTTTCTTTTGTTTAATTTGCACTATTTTGAACA